ATTTGTACTTTCCGCTGCAAACCTCCTGCCTGTATATGTTCCCTTTATACTAAGTTACCTCCATCGCCCAGTAAGGCTTACTCTCTTACCTTTTTACCTGTTTGCCTCCAGACTCACGGACGCCGTTCTCTACGGCCTAGCGAGCCGGCGACCGGGAATCAGTTTGACCCAGGCTGTTCACCTCACTCGTCTTATGCTCTACGAGGATGCGGACTCGTGCATGCTGCGTCTCATTGAGTGCTTCATGGAAGCAGCACCCCAGCTGCTCCTGCAGCTTTACATTCTCCTTTCACAACCGGCTCCCGATGGTGTTGTTCGACGTAAGCCCCCTTGTTTTCCTTTGCAACCACTTTAGCTTGGCTGGCGGATGATTCCGTCTACCTCGTATTCAAACATTATCGTTGCCGACAATGTCCACCTTGTGTCCCACAGCATGGTGAACGTAGGGACAGGGACTTGCGCAGCATCCACCGCACTCTCTCTCCTCCTCCTCACCTACCTGGGTCCGGTGTCATGATGAAGTCAAGGAGCACGGGGGCAAGAGAGCGCGTAGGTGGCTTGCGCGTTGAAACCCATACTTAGGCATGCCACCCCACCCCACAGTCTACGTACAAAGAACCAGAATTTCACTGAATGAACGAGGCGGCTGCTCGGATCCCAGCTGAGTGGGAGTGCCATGCAGGCCACATTAAGGAGGAGCCATTGCAGCCTGACTCTCAATCCACCGGCCGACCACTCCACGTTAACACACGCACTGAGCCGAGTCGTCAGTTGACATTCTCCCGAACCACGGCTTTTAGCGCACCGTGTCAGTTTCAAGCGCGTCAGGTTGTGTACAGAGAGGAAAACGAGCTGATCCGTCGATCTCGATCTCCCTTTTCCCGTACACTTCTCGATTGTCCAACCCAACCGATACAGAGATTGGGAGAGAGAGTGCAGAAAACAACCCGTCTGCCAATGCCCCACACACGACCTGGCCACCCTCAAAACACACCAGGATCTCACACGTACAAAGTGGGTGGATTGCTCTTTTCTCTCAGGTAGCAGAGAGGTGCCGGTTTCGCGTGCCCGTGAAGGACGATGTGTGAGGGATTCTTGTGTGATGTGTACTAGTGTGTGTTGGTAAGATCTACGATGATGGGTGCATGCGTGGTGTATGTGCTGTTGAGGAGATATGTGATGATGTGGTATGACCGACTACAGGTTTTCGCAGATGCGCATAGGACCGAGTAGGCCAAAGCGATTACTGGGTGTATGAAGGTAATGCGATCAGCTTAAACGAGTGCAACAAGTGTATTTTGGTGCGCCTGGCACTGTTTTACCAGTCTCTGTGTGCGATGGATTCGCAAGAGTCCAACCGGGACGATGCGTGATTAGCATGTGCAGTAGCAGCGTGAGATGGAGAGCTTGAGATCTGCAGAGTCGGTTGCAGTTGTGATGCTACTAGTGGTGAACCCGTCGGTGGATGGGAAGTTGGTGGTGCTGGAGATGGAGGAGTCGTCGAATGTGCAATGTGTGTTTGGCGTGTCGGTGTTGTGGTGAAAGCCGCATGTGAACGAATAGGCCCATGTGGTGAGCGAGTGTGCGTAGACATTGGAAGTGGACTCGGCGTGCATATATCGAGGCTCTTGGCACTGGTGCTTCAATCTAGATGCGAGGGATCCGGAACCAACTCATCAGGATGATGCATGGGTTGAATGTGTTATCGCAATGGGGACAGGTTGAAATTAAATCACACCATCACCACCACTACCACCTCGCCCACTAGTGCTACCGAGGAAAACACTCAACTTCCCCCCTTTCTACCACTATCACCACTGTCATTTCCGTACGTCACTGCCCCCTGTGCCAGCTTGCTGTGAGGCACACGAAATCGACGATTGAGCAGTCAATCTCTTCCATGTCGCTTTCTTGAGCAGAAATTTGACTGCATTTGGTCTAAAATCTCAAAACATTTTTTTCGCATCTTTTTTTCTGAATCGTGTCTGCTCGTGTTGTTTTCTTGTCACTTTGCCGTCTTCCACAGTCAGTCTTGCGTAAAGTTTTTTTCTCCTTAGCTCAATCCTTGTTCACGCACTCCCTTGTTTTGGCAATCTTGCTCCTGTAACCTCGCTCTGGTGTGATATTACCTGGTTTATTCTTCCGTGCACTTTTTGTTGCCGCCTTGTTTGTATTCTGAGAAGGTCAAATACTCTCTCTTTGGGATGCTGATTTGATAGCCTTCTCGAGTACAGTTTGTAAAAACGTGTGAATTCTTTATCTTGCCCCAAGATACAGTAAATGAGCTGTCTCATGAAATGTTAATCGGAATTCTGAAAGTCACTTACGGTAAAATCTTTACGTCCTGTGATTTAGGGGAAACCGTAGGAGCAGAAATTTTTCGTCTTTTTCGATTAGTTTGTCTTATCAACCCCTTTCCCTTTAATCCACCCATATCCCCTCCAGTTATCGCACAGTATGTCTCCTGTGGAACTTCTTGGCTGTCACTGGCCTGGTGCCTCACCGCCTACCAGTCCGCGCTTCGTAACTCCAGAGTGGAGAAGGCGAACCTTCGCTTCCGCGGCACCGTCTTCTACTTCCTCTGGAAGGTCGGTGTCCTGCTGTCCCGTCTGCTTGCCCTCGCCCTCCTCGCGGACGCCTTTCGGGCCATCTGGTTCGCAGTCTG